CCACTGCCCCAGTTTAGCCAGCAGTTGGGAGCGTGCGCTGAGTGCAGCGCCCAGCCAGGGCTGTCCGCCTCTCGGAGCCGAGCAGTGGATCCCCACTCCCCGGCTATTGAGCTCTGCTGCCTGGCCCGGAAGGGCTCGCAGAGTCCTCACCAGCAGTGAAAGTAAGTGGGTGCGGAGTGCGCAGCTGTGACAAGAACTGGCTGAGCTGGGCCTATTTGAAATCCTGGGAAGATGGGCGGGCAAAGCCCCTCCCCAACCTTATGGGAGGGACACTGAACCCATGTTCAACTCAATCCAGGGGACAAAAAATGACAACAGGGTCAAGGAGTGCGGGTCACAGGTTTAAAATAAGGGAACCGGATGGGGACACCGAGCAGAGAACCCCGGACAGCGCCCACTGCTCCTCAAAGCTGTCGATGGAGCCAGTGGTCACCGCCCAGAGGAACTCTGCCCGGATTCGTGACAGGAGGGAAGAACGGAACTAGACCCCCCACACACACACAGTCGCAGAGAACCCCCCCCCCCCGATGGCAGCCTTCGCTAAGGCCAGGAGGAGGTTGACGAGGAGGTCTCGCGACTTTGTGGGATCACAGATTGGGTGTGCGTAAATAAAAAGGTGAGGGGAGAAGTGCAGCCAGAACCTCAGTAAGAGGTTCTGGAGGAGCCGGAATAGGGGCTGGAACCTGGCGCATTCAAGGTAGGCATGCGCCAGATTCTCCCTCACGCCGCAAAAGGGGCAGGTGTCCGGGATTGGGGTAAACCGTGCCAAGTACATGCCCGTGAAGGAGCCGCCAACTGATGTCCCCGACGGGCTGCAGAATTAAGGTGGAATAAACGCTGGCCCATCGGGGTTCCCCGCCCTCTATAGGTCTGAGATAGTCCCGCCACTTTGTATAGGGGCGGGACACGAGGGTGGGGAAATGCAAAGTGTGGAGCACGAGCATGCGTGTACAGCTTTTCCCTGGGCGCGGTCCGGAAACAGACCAGCTGCAGATTTTGCAGCCGGCTGGGGGTCCAAGTGTGGGGAGGCCACGGGGCCCGTGGGACAGGGGCCCAATAATAAGGGACGGAGGCTTTGCAGGAAGGGAGGGGCGGGGCGTCCCCTCTTGCAGGGCTTTCTGTAGGAGATCTGGCTGAGCTGGGACAGAAGCCAGCAGGGAGCTGTTTTAAAAGCAGGCAGGGACCCAGGTTGTGATAGGACAATTACCTGTAAGAAATTTAAGTTTCTTTCATCCCTGGTTCTCACTACCCCAATACCAGTAGCAGGCAAAGGTAGCAAGGGAAGGATGAAGTCAGTACACTTGGGAGAGTGGTACCTAAAAGGGGGAGGCGTGACCATAGATTAGGAGAGCTCCTTACAGTTTTCTGATGTTATATTACAGCAGGGGTGTCCAAACTTTTTTCAAAGAGGGCCAGATTTGATAAAGTGAACATGCGTGAGGGCCAACCATTTTGCCTGACATTCTTTGAACCATTAAAATTAAATGCAAATTAACTATTTTATGCAAAGTTTATTGCAAACGGCATACTTTTCATTTCGTCACATGGATGACAAATCTAAACAGGTGTTAAATCACTCTGCCTTTCATATCTGAAGGCCAGATGAAAAAAAAAATCCAGGAAGCTGAAATATATGTCAGGAACATTGTAAAGTACATTACATATTATTGGTAATAAAGGTTGTCTGTCAACTTTTAAGTTCAAAAAATATGAACAGGAACATAACACCAAGTATACATGTTGTGTCCAAATATATTTATAACTGATTTAGACCAACTGACTTTAACTGAGATTTTACAATGTATTCATCTCAATACATATGGATTCATTGGGGGCCATAAAAGATAGATATTGCCAAATTACCCGTGGGGCCGTATTAAACCGGAACACGGGCCGCAATTGGCCCGCGGGCCGGACTTTGGACATGCCTGTATTACAGTATACTGCAGTACAGTGTTAGAACATAAGAACGGCTGTACTGGGTCAGACCAAAGGTCCATCTAGCCCAGTAGCCTGTCTGCGGACAGTGGTCAGCACCAGGTGCCCCAGAGAGGGTGGACCAAAGACAATGATCAAGCGATTTGTCTCATCCCATCCTTCTCCAGCCTCTGACAAACAGAGGCCAGGGACACCAATTCTATCCCCTGGCTAATAG